ACTTAGAAAAAAACTCAACGTTAAGGTTTTGCGTTTAGCTCTTACATATTAGGCTGTTTCGGACAAAGTATAAATGCCAGAGCAACCAAACTTGAGTCATATGTGAATGTATAGCCGAACGCATTACACTCTTTACTTGCATTTCAACGATTTCCGTATTTTTTGGCTAAAAAACTCAAATTTCTCGACTTAGAAAAAAACTCAACGTTAAGGTTTCGCGTTTAGCTCTTACATATTAGGCTGTTTCTGACAAAGTATAAATCCTAGAGCAACAAAACGTGGGTCATAGGTGTATCAGGGGATGTATAGCTGAATGCATTGCTCTGTTTACTAGCATTTCAACGATTTCTGTATATTTTGGCTAAAAACCTCAAATTTCTTGTCAAAGTTAAGGTTTTTGCGTTTAGCATATTAGGCTCTTTCTGACAAAGGATAAAAGCTAGACCGACCAAACCTCAATCATACATGTATCATGGGTAGTAGAGCCTACTACTCTAAAAACATTTCATGGATTTCTGCACTTTTTCAGATAAAAACCTGAAATTTCTGGACCTTAAAAAAAATGAATGTTATGATTTTGCTTTTAGGTCCGTTTCCTTATGCACTATGTCAAATGCTTATTATATTGACAAAGCGGGACAGGCGACGCATATAATTACGCCTAATTCTTGTTTGTAGTTGAGTATTATGACGGCTTATTTTTTGAAGTTAGAGTTGGGTTGAACGGGTGTTCCCCTACATACAAGTGACCCTCACCTATATGTAGGCGAACACCTATACAGGGGGGGGGGGGGGGGGGGGGGTAGTTATACCTAGGACACACCAGTTTCATATTTTATTTGGAAAGGAAGGGTGTCTATAAGGCCCTTTTTTGGGCCCCGGTATAATCGGATATTTACCTCCTTATTTTATTCAAAGATGTCCTATTGTATGACATGCGGAAAAACTAAGGTAAAACTTTGACAGAAAGTGGGTTTCTGGGGGTACCAAAAGGGGTATGGTAAATCACAAATATAGTTTGCTGTTTTCAAAACGAGCTTTAAAACCCAAAAAATATCAAACATGTAAAAATTTAACAAGCATATGTAACGGAATGAAAAATGACAGAAATTCAATCGTCACTAAAAGATTGTTTATATAAAACGACGGATTACGTCAGGGGGTCTTTTCGGTTATTTTCAATTGAAAAGTAATTTGTTTTCTCAATAATTTCCTTTCTAATTAATATTTTGACTTGCCATTTACAACTTCACTCATTTAAGTAGACTTACATAAATTGCATATTGACTACATACTTTCCTTTTGTTTTGTACTGAGTTATATATATGGCTTCTGGACACATCTCAAACTTGGCTTTTTCAAATATCTCAATTTTAAGTGAATTAAAAGGTGCATGACACCCTTTATATGCTATAAGAATAAGATATCAATTGTTATTATTGTATATTATATATATCATATAATATTTGCTCAACACCTGTGGCTGAAGTGAGTTCCAGGTCCTGATTCTTTTTTTTACTTATCAAAGTGGATAACAAAAGGCCTATGTTGCTCACATGTTCATCGTCATGTGTGCGAGTGGGAGAGGAATATAATAGCAGGTTTAGTGGAAATATAACATCGATGTGATGAGTGAACAACTATGTAGCACACATTAATATCTTTGATGTCTGTTTCAGTTTTACTTTGTATTTCCACGAAAACCAATCTCCAGCATACATACACACTTGCACGCCTTTACAACACACATCGAGGCACGACTTTAAATGACATAAGATGTTAATAGGAGGTTTAACAAAACCAAACCAAACCAACCAAATGTACATGATACAGGATGTATATATGCTATATTCACAATTTTAACATAATTCATTACTAAACATACACAAAACTTGTATATAAATAAATGGTTTGCGAATGATACCTTGCACAAGCTCTGTACTTGACTAACGTGCGTGTAAAATGTCTGCATACTTTTTGAACAAGGTATGACTATACCTAATGGATTAAGGTGTGTACCTATAGTTAAGTAGGCATTTATGGCCGTTGAATTTATTATTGATCGTCCATATTACTTAATAATAATAATAATTTGATGAAATTGCGGCCCATAAAACCGCAAATACAAATGAATCAAACTACTTGTTCCTTCTGTATAACCTTAACGTATAAGTTATTTTATATATACATGTACATCTTTTATACTGTAGTAACGGTTTAAATATACCAATTATTACAATGAAATGCATTAAATAAACTGAATAAACAACATTAACCGAAAGGAAGGCGTCAGAGGGGTGGTGGAGGGTGCAATTTTGTCAATATTTACAAAAATCAGTCTGTGCACTGTTAATGATCCCTGACGAAGGTGAGGTTCAAGTGCGCTCCACTCAACCGTGACCGCTTTAGCTGACCAATCAGCGTTGACCGTTCACGTGATGTACGCGTGGTCAATATGTGTCTGGCGTAAGTGGAGCCGCTTGTGTAACCGAGGATAAAATTAATTAGAAATTCAAATAAAAATAAGTCTTATAAGCAAGACTTTGCATTTTTCTTCCTCATTTCCTTTCTCTTCTGACGACTCACTTAGGGTTTGACATAAGTCAACATATACTAAATAACTACAAACAATAAGTTCGGCACATGTTATAATTGCCTCCTGCTGTTTCCTCCGTTCATCAAAATCTATAGATATAACTCCAAACGACGAAATGCCGTAAATGGCTCACCTACGGGTGGCCGTTGAATTTATTATTAATCGTCCATATTACTTAATAATATTTTTTGATGAAATTACAGCTCATAAAACCGCCACAAATCTACGATGAGAAAAAGTATATTTTAAAACGTTATTATTCCATGTTATTTTTCCATCGGAGATGCCGCCAATGAAACAGCAGAAAGGCAACGATTAGGTCTTATGCATTTTTGAAAGCTTTCAGAAATATATTTACAAACATAATTAACAGAAATAAGTGTCCATATATGTGGTAAAACAATGTGCTGTAACAAGATCTATATTCCAGACGTAGTGCACATTCAAAGGTCACCAGAATGCTTGTTTGTTTGTTTGATTTTGTTTAACGTCCTATTAACAGCTAATGTCATTTAAGGACGGCCTCCCCTGTGTGCAAGATGCATGCGTGTAGTGTATGTGTGTGTATTTTGGGAGGCTGCGATATGTTCGTGTTTGTCTCCTTGTGATAGCGCGGAACTGATGCCGACTTTATAGTGCTACCTCACTGAAACATACTGCCGAAGACACCCAGCAGGACGCCCCACCCGGTCACATTATACTGACAACGGGCGAACCAGTCGTCCCACTCCTAATTTGCTGATCGTTAAGCAGGAGTATAAACTACCATTTTTAAAGACTTTGGTATGTCTCGGCCAGGGGACAGAACCCAAAGCCTTCCTCACAGGGGCGAACGCTCAACAAATGGCCAATAGTGAGGCATTGTCAAGGGAGACATTAAGAAGAAGAAAGTTATTTAGAAAGGAGTGAAGAGATAAGGTCCCAAATTTAGTCGCCTCTTACGATCATGCAATTGGGAGCAGCAGGTACAATTCTTACGCCCTACCTGCAGGGGAACACCAGAATGCTCACATTTCTGACACAATGTGATAGTTGTCCATTTGTTATGTGTATATTTGGATAGTTCCTTTATATGTCCTTTTCTGTACGGTGTTGAACAGTTCATTCTAGCACCGCGAATAGGACTTTAGTGTACCTAATAGTCTCTGGCACCACACATTCCATCCTTTCTGGAAACAGCCGACATGTTCATACATAATAGATACAGAGATAAACATAACACATCTGTATACTAAAGAAAGAAAAGCTATGCAAGCAACATTCGGAACTCCCGTCACAAAGATGACACCTGCACAACCTTACTTACAAACTAGTATATGGTACTAGCTTAAAACTGGACATCCCGCCACAATTGTTTTAAGCTAATACAAACGTTGCCTACAGTAACAGTTGAAGTCTATGAAGGTGAAGGAGATCTTATATATTTCCTGAATGCATCTGATTTCCATCTTCCCAGTAATCTTATTTGAGCATCCGAAAACCCTTTCAATGCTGCTGCGGTGGCGCCACCTATTCTGAAACTGTCTCCCTTGTATCGGCTACTGTCAAGACCACATAATCTGAGGGACCGACGTATTGTTAAATCAAAAGTCGATCTCATTAAAGGTTTTTTTGATTGATTCTGAAAGAGGCAACCAGTATGATCTTTTCTTAGTAGCAAATACTTTTGCATTGTGTGTACTGGGCATATAGGAGATCCTGGAATAGAGGACACTGGTATTCGGTGGGGTCGTTTTGCCAAATTATGTTTAAATTCTGTGAAAGTCACTAACATTTGACAACGGGATTTTCGAGGTGTCGAAATGAATATCCGAAATTTGCAAAACCCTTTCCACTTGTGAAAGATTACTAGGAAGCAGTTCTCCTATGCGTGCCAAACAAATAAATACCAAAGTAAATATCGCTGCATACATTATTTTGTCATAATTCTCAGGAATTATAAATGTCAGCGAAGCAACAATTTTCTCTAAAACTTCCTGTGTAATTGGAAGTCGCGTGTCACATGAGGGGGCTAGGCGTGCAATGCATTTATAATTATTTTGATGATAAATATTTTAGTTGGATCTTCTAGACCCCGTACCCCACTGAAAATTCAACTGGGAATCCCAGTGGGATCCCGCTGGAATTCCCAGTGGGATCCCATTGGGATTTTTGGGTGGGATTCCCAGTGGGATCCCAGTGGGATCCCAGTGAAATTCCCATTGGGATTTTGGGTGGGATCCCAGTGGGATTTTTGGGTGGGATTCCCATTCAATCCCAATGGGATCCCGGTTAAGATCCCACCGGGATCCCAGTCAAGATCCCACTGGGATCCAGGTCAACATCCCACCAAGGTCCTAGTCAGTATTCCACTGTGATCTTTGTCAGGTTACTGGCTACCAACTGAAAAAAAATCTCTAAAAAATTTGAGTTTTATAATTTGTATTTATTATTTTTGATTCCTCTGATTTTGTCATTCATCTTCTTTACAATGTCATTCATCCATAGAGACTCCTTCTGGTCGTCACGAAGACTCTTCCCATAGAGCTGGAAGAGGTGACCTGCAAAACAATAAAATGAATCAAAATATAATTTGTGCATTTATATCTGTTTACTTTTTTGGGTTTTAAGTATCAGAACAAACTTATTGTAAAAGAAATTAATGAGCATTAATCTCAAAAAAGGTGCAATCTTATTTACTCACAAATTAACAACTGCAAAGATGTTGTGTATAGGTCTTTGTACATATCTCAGAGAAAGAGTTACCAACACTAAAGCTATATTTCCATATGTGACGATATACACTTACTCCTCAAAGCTCTTCTTTTTGCTGGGGCCANATAGCGCGGAACTGATGCCGACTTTATAGTGCTACCTCACTGAAACATACTGCCGAAGACACCCAGCAGGACGCCCCACCCGGTCACATTATACTGACAACGGGCGAACCAGTCGTCCCACTCCTAATTTGCTGAGCGTTAAGCAGGAGTAGAAACTACCATTTTTAAAGACTTTGGTATGTCTCGGCCAGGGGACAGAACCCAAAACCTTCCTCACAGGGGCGAACGCTCAACAAATGACCAAAAGTGAGGCATTGTCAAGAGAGACATTAGGAAGAAGAAAGTTATTTAGAAAGAAGAGAAGAGATAAGGTCCCAAATTTAGTCGCCTCTTACGATCATGCAATTGGGGGCAGCAGGTACAATTCTTACGCCCTACCTGCAGGGACTTGTTACCTTGTACATTGCCTTCACACACTGCTTACAAGAAGTGATTTCTGCCAACTGCCTTTCTATATCTGCCTGTTTTTCAAACAGCTGATGCACCATGGCAAGTATGGTATTGGTGTTGTTGACAATGGCAATCAACTGTTAGAAGAATTAAGTGATTACAATGTAAAATCCAAGCCTGAAGAAAATTGTTACCCTAGGGTTAACAAATACCTCCTCTCCACATAGTTACTATTTTTAAATCGGATCCGGATGAGTGTAATTTCATCAAAATCCTCAAAATGATAACAAGAACTGTTGCCATATTGGCAGCCTTAACTTATACACCTGTTTTCCAGAATATTTAAAAGAAAAGGACACAACTCCATAAATGGGAAGGTAACTCTAACTTTGTTGCAGTACTGTCCTGTTTCAGGACTGCTATTTCAGTTGTTTACCTTTTCTGAAACTGATGGAGTATCCACATGCCCATCTCCATCCACCAAGACTGAAGATACCATTTGACCAACTTTTTCTCTCGCTTTTTGTGCATCCCTCTTTGTCTTTGCAACGTCTTTCTTTACTTTCAACGCCTGGAATATCAACTTATTAAATCAATAATTCTGCCAAAGGTCGAGCATTAATTGCAGACAGAAGGTTAAAAATATCAGCTATTGCATGTCCACATATCCAAAAATTCTAAATAGGGATTGTTACCAATCGATGTCCCCTAAATTACTGCAAAAGATGAAAATCAAATTAGCCTAACTGAAATCAACCTATGGATATTACAGCAAAATCCTAAACTTGAAAATCACCTTTAATATTGATCACCCCAACAAAGATTAAGAAAGGATAGTTGTAATGTTGGTACACAAAACCTGTCTCTGCCAATCGCAAAGGAGCAAGACTGATGGTCATATAGCAAATTGTCATGTTTATTAATTTTAACAAAAAAGTAAGAAAATGAATACATGTATCAAATAAAAAAAGTAAAAGGAAGCTTGGATGGTGCTGCAGCAAAAATTGAAACATCACTACATATATATATACCTCTATATCTTGGTTTGTTGTCTGTGTTTTTGTCTTTTTTTTTAACGGTCTGTTTATTAACTGAAGGTCGTCATCAGAAGTTATTTCTCCATGTTCAGAACCTTTAAATGAGAAATTCAATAGTCAATGAATTATCCAATATGAAGAGTGTATGGACGGACATGATTTTTTAAAACAAAATAAGACCAAATTTGTTCTTTTTATGCATTTCTTAGCATCCTTGTCAGCATATCAGTTTAATTAACACAACTTGAACTTAAAGTGATAGTTATTTTAACTAAAATCTTTTTGGAAGGACCACACAAAAGAAAATATTATTGTCAGACCATCACATATAAAGTATCAACAATATATTCTTGAGCCATTTGCAAATATATATAAAAACTATACATACCGTTATTACTGTACGCTTCATTTTCTGACCCATCTTGATGCATGTCACGAAGTGATCTCTGCAGAAGAATAAAGTTTTGAAAATGTTATACAAATGTATGTACCTAAACATGTCCACACTGTTGGAATTACTTCTTTGCCCCATATAATATTTTAAGTAATTTGTATCCTATGTACATACCTCCATTATGATCCAGTGTGATATGGGATTTTACCGTCTATATTACTTCTTTGACCCATATAGTTTGCATTATATACATATCGGGGTTTTTTTTATCTTTTATACAAGATTACATATATAACCTCTAGCTGTGACCAGTTTGAAAAAAAATGTTAACTTACAAAATACACAACTGGCTAATGTCAACATGTATTAAAGTGTTTTTTTAACTATCTATTTACAACATGATGTTGCTTTTTTTCTAAATGTAGTTAATTATCTGTCACATGTTCTATGTGCACAAATTGAACTTTTCTATCACACACACACAAGCATCTGCCTGAAAACTTTGGTTGCGCTGAACAAATCAAAATACACACCTTCTTTTTGATCCTGGGAATTCTGATTGGTGCAGCAGTGCCTGTGGTAAGCCCATCATCACTCTTACTGGCAATGGCATCAATATCCTCTACTAGATATGGCCCCGACTCCTTTTCCATCGGCTTTCCTCCACAAACAGTTTCCACCAGCTTTTTAAACCCAGGGCCAGCTAATAATTCCTGGAATTCCTTCCTTTTGGAGTCATCTTAATGTGTAATAATGACAAAAACAAGTCATCAATAATGATGATAATTTTATAGATCTGTACTGATGAAACATGCAAAGGATTTGGGGCGTTATGGGTCATTTTTGGCCTCATTAAAAGTAAAAAATTCAACTTGAATCTATTTTCAATTTCAATTTTCAACCAAATAGCGCACACCAGACGATATTTATATCTCTCTTTGTAATGCAATATCTCCTAATCCAGTTGTCGAATGAATTTTACCCTTAACACCTCTAGTCCTTTATTCATTCCGTGACTTATTAAATAATAATTTATTAAATGACCCCCATTTAAACTTGGACACACTGGTATTTCCTGTATTTCTTTGAAGGATTGCCGTGGTCCCAGAAAGTAACATAAACACATATTTCATATAAATATATGACCTTAATATATCATCCCTCGAAATCATATTTACAACAAACACTACGACACTTTCTTATATCATTACGACGACTCTTTGGGTTTTGAAATGGCGGTGGCTCAACCCCCATTGACATCGTAACATAAATATGCATTTTATAATGGCGCTACCGTAGTTTTGTTTGATCATTCGAGTTAAACGTAAATTATATCGTTTATTATATTCAATGTTTCTGAAAATGACAAAGGATAACTTACCACCGATCTTTCCTATGACGCCACTTTGAATTCCAAATCCTGGACATTTTACCCGAACACGTTGTCCTTCACGATATTCCCCAAAGGCAATCCTTGGCTCTACGATCGTACTTATCTTCAAAATGTTGCCTTGGATTGGATCGTCGTTAATCCAGATCATCAGGACGATTGAAGACATTATGATTATTTGAAAAATATGCCGTACCTTGACAACTGTAATCGAGGAAAGTTTACGAAGTCGTATTTGGCGGTTTCTTGGAGGTCATTCGAGACGACAGATAGATGGCGCTGCGGATATGCTGCGGATGCTGATACGAAATAATGGGTAAATATATATTATATCTAACTTCTCCATTTTGAAGTATTTATTTTTTTCCCCTCCAAAATTTTAAGTTTTAAAAGTTAGATTTTTTTAGCTCGTAATAATCATCGATATCCAGCATCCTTAGGTTACAGTTGGTCCCCATCGAACACAGCGAGGGGCGAGGGGAGATAATTTGCATCAAATAATTATTATATCGGACAATGAGTTAATCGAAAGTAGCCGTCGTATTCATTAACTCAATTTACAAAGATAAACAAAATTTCATATGAAATTTACTTCATATTTAAAGTCAGCTTTGCGTCATTTAAATTCCGTGAAATCCGAAACTTCTCAAGTATAATAGCTTTACACCGATTCACCTCGGGAATGTTTCGGTAAAGTGAATTTTAAAAATGGTCAGTAGAAACGAAATTTTATAGCAAAAACTTTTTTTTTATTCATATTTCAGGAAAATAAAAACAAACTATTGATATTATTCCTTTTATTGTGATTAAATAGTGAGAAAAAAATATTCTGACAATCGTTTTTAAATTATGAAGGGCAAATGTTTTACCAACAAAATTTGATTTTTAGGTCAACCAAGCATTGCGCGGTAAAGATACTGATGCAAGTGATAAAGATAAACACTGTTGAAACGATTTCTATTCACACATACTTGCCCAATGCACTCCTTCAAATTGTTGAATATAATTTGAGATTTCTTCCGATCGATAGAAAAGGTATGTTTACAAAATTTGTTTTCTGATACTCCTAAGGAGGTAGGAATTAATCACATAGTAACTTACACGTGTGTTGTTTACAGTAGCTAGGCCCAAAAACGGGAACGCACTTTTCAAAAAAACAAACTTTTAAATGCATGCACCTTTTTTTGTTTCCGTATGCAAATTGTACGAGTTTAAATGGCATATGCTATCAGAAGACCTATTTCAAGCTTAAAAAAGTAGTCTTTTGTCCACGTGAATGTGACACAATCGACAATAATAGTCCATAATAGATTAGATCCGCTTTTTTGTACAACAGGAGCTATCAGAGGTTCCATAAAATATGCCCTTGTATGGGCAGTAGCAGGTCTAAACTTATAGACCTTTCTTAGCACCAAATACTCTCTCATCACACTTTTCTTTCTTTCCTCTCTCTCTCCCTTATGCATGCACCAGTCCGCACTTTATCATTTCTATTTCGGTCACCACACAATACCTTTTAACATGCACAGACGCGCACGCTGCATATAATACTCGAAAGAGGGTGATGCAGAATATATAGATAGATAGATAAATGCAAAATAGTGTGTTTCTGAAAGAAGGAATTAACTTAAAAGTTTAGAAATGTTGTATACATATATATATTCATACCAAACATTCTGAAGATAATTATCAAATGTTGAGATTCTCGCTAATTTGTTCGGTAATGTACCTTGACTGGCCGTGTATAAGTATGTATAGTTGCCAATCAAATATTATCATCGATCTTTTTTGTAAATTTATTCAGTCTTGAAATTAGAACTGAAACTAATTATAAGTTAACAATATAATGTAAAATCATGAAATTATGAATTGATTTGTACTCAAAACAGGAATTTGAAGATGAATGTTAACTTATTTATCATTTTTATTTTGATGAGTAGGCTTAGATTTTTACTGACATTTTTTTGTAAGCGACTATATGTGAAAATATTCGTCTTTCAGGTGAAGTCCAGTAGATTGAATGTGAAAGATCGTCAATTCAACCTTCTAAAGTGTAAAGACTTAATCTTGGCATGAATTCCAGCAGCAGTCTGTGTACAGATTCAGATGATGCATATGAATTTCAAACACCAAAGAAACGCCGTCAAAAATCAAAAGTTCACGGTTTCAATAACAAACGTGCTTCATATTACAAGACAGCGCGGTTAAGTCAACAGTATCTGAGCAAAACTACAGCGGATGTGCATTTGCAATCATCATCAAGTGACATCAGTGATGAAGAATTTCCTGAAGTGGCCTCATCAATATCTGGAGGCAAAGTTTGTAAAAATGCAAGCAATTCCTCAAGTAGTGCTATTTTGAGTACTAGTGATGATTCCTCTACGAGTACTAGCAGTGTCTCAAGTACAACATCAATGAGTGATGGTTCAATACAGATTGAAATTTCAGACACTGATGATGACTGTAGCGAGACTGATGGTGGAACTGAACAATTTGACTGCCCTTTGTTTGATGGTTGCTGCCACACCAAGTTGTCTTTCTATACATCAATAGTTATGTTTGTTAACAAACATTCTTTGACAAGAGATGCATTTTCTGATTTACTTGCCATTATTGCATCACTTGACAGATCGTGGGGAATTACAAACTCTGTGTATAAAGTGAAAGAAATAATGAGAAAGTGTGCTAAGTTGCAGGAACCAAAAGTTCATTTCTTTTGTGAGATCTGTCAGGTTGAGTTGGAAAATTCCAGTGATACATGCTCATGTACAGCTGAAAGAAGAGTTCTGGAATACAACAATCTGAATGTTGAAAAACAAATTCAGGAATTATTCACAGGTATTTGTCCGATTGGATAAGAGGTTGAGCCAAAATATATTATATATTTTTTTGTCAAAACTGCACTTTGGACACATGTTAATGTATAAGAATTCACGTGTCCCTAATTGTAAATGACACTTCATGTAAGTTTAAATAATATGTAAATTCTCAGTTTTAATTCTCAGTGGCGATTATGTTGACTAGTGCATGGAGTGTTTTAGTTCCATAGGACGGTTGTAGTTTCTTCAACTAGCTGACATTATACCATGTTGTTTTTACAGATGAACTCTTTTGTGAAGCTGTCATGACAGACAAAGATTATTCAGAGCCAGGTGTATGGGAAGATGTTTGTGATGGGCAGGAGTACAAGAGATTAGTTGCACTGAGGAAATATACCAACGATAAGACTCTGCATTTAACCTTCACAATGAATACAGGTATGAAGGGCCTTTAAACACGGATAATAATTTGTGAACCGCTTTGAGACAACCTACCAACAAGGTTGTGATTAAGCGGTATAAACGAACCTCAAGTTATTATTATAACTTATACGTTTGTCTCTTGGTAAACACATTTTTAATGGAATACATTGAACATGTAACCTTTTCATTGTGTTTGCATGATTCGTATTTGTTACAAGAGTATATAACAGGATCATCAAAGTTCAACATTTATACTATTTCTGTGCTTAAATGTAATGCTCTGAAAAGTTGCATTGTTCTAAAAATTCAGTCATTGTTCATTTTCCTTGTCCAGCTATCTCTTCAAAAATAGTTGATCATGAACTATTCTTTTATTGAAATTGAGTATTGAAAAAATATTGACATGAGATGTGAAAAGAAAATCTCAGTTGGTGTGTGTTTTGTATTGTAGATGGTGTAGCAGTATTTTCCTCCTCCAAGAAAGGAAACCTGTGGCCTGTGTATGTTGCAATCAATGAATTGCCAGTTCAGCTAAGGTAAAAATGTTAATGTTTGTTGATAAGTTAGAGCAGCTTATAATTTAAAAATTCATTGGTGGATGTAAACTATGGTCTAAGAAAGGACCACTGTGTAATTTGTAATATATCATTTGATTGTTACATAAAGGTTTGCGTTCCAATTCGTAGGCACATTTATATGTTTTCTTGTTCACTTCAATTCATTTTTAAGCACCAATGTATCATATTGTCATATATTTATATATAATACATATTGTTATTATAAACAGTTACAATTGAGATACTGGGGTTTATGTTCCGAGTGCTTACAAGTCAGGAAATGTATTGTGATTTTTAGGTTTACAAAGAAGTACATTCTTCCATGTTATCTTCACTGCCAGATAGAAAAGCCAAACATGCTCACCTATTTATCCAACCTGATGAAAACAATTGCAGTATTGAGCAGTGAAGGTAATTGAAAAAATAATGTGTCAGCTTTGTACAGCTCAAGTTCAAAGATATGTGGTAGATCTGTATGATGTTGTGATTTAGAGTGTTTCAAATTTGTATAATTTGATTTTGAAATCTGTTGATTAATGCTAGGTCCAATTTCTTTATTGACTTGCCCGTCATGAAAATAATTAATAAAGTGCAAAGAAAGGAAAAGAAATTTAGATAAATCTTATACAGATCCTCCGATATTGAGTGCCATGATCCTTTTAGTATCTCTTATATTAGAAATAAAACTTACATGGTTATTATGAAGTTACTTTTGTTTTAGGAATGGAAGTGATAACTTGCTTTGGAAAGAGGACAGTGAAGTGTCAACTTCTTGCATCATGTCTAGATTTACCAGCAAAGGCTCTAGTAGCTAACATGAAACAGTTCAATGGTAAATTTGGTTGTGTTAGCTGTTTTGATGAAGGACATTCAAACCCCAGAACTCCAATGCACAGATACTACCCATTTCTTGAGAGGAACCAGCTGCGAACACACCTTTCCATTTTACAAGACATCCGTAAAGTGGCTAGATCTGGTCAAGCTGTAAGTGGAACTCATAATGTTTTACTATTCATGATAAAGTCTCTCTGTTTGTATTGTCTTCCTTGGCATCATTTTGTTGTAAACTTGTGTGGACATAATATTTCAAATATTTGTGATTTTTTATTGTATGCAGATAAACATAAATATTTTAGCAAACGCATTTCAAAAAACCATGTTTAATAAGTGTCGTTTTGAAAACTATGAATCATTATTAGAAATTTCTGTATGTTAACGCATATGTGTACATGTATGTCTCAAGTCTGAATTGGGATGATGTTTTTTTCTTATTAATAACCTGTAGAATTTTTTTATTTCAAGGAAAGAGGAGTGAAGGGAGCTTCATCATTACTGCTACTCAAATATCTTGACCTCACCAAAGTCTTCCCTATTGATTGGATGCACTGTGTTCTGTTGGGGATCACCAAGTCACTATTAAATTTCTGGCTTAATACCACATATAAAACTCAAAAGTTCTATATAGGTGATAAGGTAATAATAATAATAATAATATCTTTTATTTATCCAGGGTTACAATCCTTTTAAAGCTTTGCTAGCAAAATGAATTAACTTTTATCAAAGACATTTTTGTTGTGTCTGTTCCTAAAAGATAAATTAAAGAAATCTGGTAATGTTATTCCTGTCAATCCTATATTAATTGGTTTCATTTTTATCCTTTTGCAGATGGCTCTTTTGAACAGAAGACTGCTTCAAATCAAGGTACCAGATTTTGTTGCTCGACGACAAAGAGGTCTGGAGGAGGCAAAACACTGGAAAGGTACACACGCACATACACCTAAATGTTTGGTAAAACGAAAGATAAATCATGGTAACCATTTTTGAGGAGTGGAAGTATGAAATATTTGTTTACCAGTCAAAGCTGTAATCTATGAAACTATTTTCATTCAGGTATAGAATATTGTAAGTGATCAATTTATATTTCAGCCACAGAGTGTCGAGAATGGCTTATCCACTTCTCTGTGCCAGTATTGAAAGGCATACTGGAATCAGAAGCATTTGTTCACTACTGTCTACTAGTGACAGGAATGGCTCTGCTAACAAAGGAGAGGATAACATCAGAAGATATCTGTTTTGCTGAAGAAATGCTTCTGGACTTCTGCAGGATTTTCCCTTCCATTTATGGTAATTTTGCTCATTCTTTTGTAAAAAAAAAATGTGTTTTTGTCAATATACCAGAAGAGAAGAGTATCTTTTTTTGTGCATTTTACAAAGTGTTTCCAATATTTATCTTGTGAATAAAAAATTTAAAACACATCATTTGTATTTCAGGTGTCGAGAAACAAACAATGAACCTTCACCTCCTTCGGCATCTGCCGGACTGTGTAAGGTCATTTGGGCCATTGTTCCATTTTTCATGTTTTGGGTTTGAATCAATGAATTCTCATCTCAAAAGCATGTTCCATGGCACTCGACATGTCAACAGTCAGGTGAGCTAGACATTTTCCTAAATCCTAGATTTGTTCTATGAAATATAATTTTGTGTTAATATGAATTTTTTGTTTTTATTGCTTGATTGTCCTGGTCGAAATTTTCATGACAAAGGGAGACTAATTCATGTTTGGCACCAGTAATCCATTTATGTATGTGTCAGCAAGAATATAAAAATAACCAAGGCATGCTGTTGGACTGATAGAGTTTTGTAAGTTTAGAGTTCACTACAATTGCACCTTTGAAAACTTGTTTAAATAGCACATCAAATATTAAACATCTCAATGTTTTTCAGATCACCTTTGCAGTTGCAATGACAAAGTCTCTCCCAGGTCTTGTGAAAAGTATCATGAAAAAGTGCAACAGTGATACATTACTTGGATTACTTACCAAGTTGTCTTCCAAGATTTCAAGGTTTGACTATTTCAGTACTTGATTGTCATTCAGTAAATATTACATTTTTTATGATATTCTATAGAACATTATAAGGCATAAACTTTTTTTTTTAACTTCAATTATATTGTCATTAAATTTCTGAAATTCATAAAAATGATTACATTAAGACTAACTCAATTGTAGATCAATTATACTATGCAAAGCTGGTTTTATTTACAATTATAATAGCTAACACTTAATTTACTAATAGGGAGGATGCTGGTGGTATTGAGGATGGAGACACAAATGCTGTTTTGGGGAAGAAAAGAATTTATTCTGCCAACAATCACATTGATGTTGTACAGAAGGTTTTGCAGGAAAACAACCTAGATGGAAAGGAAGTGTATTCCTTTCAGAGGTATCGCAGAGGAAACCAATTATACAAATCTGCAGAATATGACAGAAGCAAAACCAGGAACAACAGTACAGTCTTATTTGAAGATGATCAGATGATGTTTGTTGGAGAAGTTTAATTTTTCATGCAATGTGCAGAGTACAATTTTGCTGTGATGATGAAATATAAAAGCACTGGCAGAGTAATATCTTTTCAAGAATCTCTGAAAAATGACACACTTCTCAAGTACAAGTCTTGTGGTAAAAATTTATGCTGTCACATCCAACAAGTTGTTAAGGATGTCAACTGTGTAATACCAGTGAGGAGAATTATAAAGAAATGCGTCCAGATGGAGATGGACAACTGCAAATATGTATCCATTCCACCCAACATCCTAGAACATAGTTAAATCCTCATATTCAATGTTATTTAAACATAATTATCAACTGTTAAATTATTTTTTCCTACAAGAAGAATTTACAAGTATATGACTGGAACATTGAACATTCCATGTCATTTGTACATATTTCAATTTTGCCTATGTATAGATTTACAAGTATATGACTGGAACATTGAACATTCCATGTTTTTTTCCCCATTTAAAAGTTTTGTTTCAGTTTAAAATTTTATGATAAAATGTTTTCAAAATACTTAGTAAATGAAAACATTTAAGGGAGATGAACATCCCAGTGGGATGAAAATTCTCAGTGGGATGAAAATTCCCGGTGGGAATATAAAGAATATCCCACTGGGATCCCACTGGGATTCAAAATCCCAGTGGGATCCCACTCATTCCACTGGGATCCCGGTGGGATCCCGGTGGGATCCCATTCACATTTTCTATGGGGTATCTGGTGAACATATGCCACCGCAGAGAGTTGAGAAGACATTGTGCTCTGAGAAAGGCCTTGGTGATGGGCATGAGCTATATATATGGCTAGGTAAGATACTGGTACAGGGAATGTCAATGATTGACCCAAAAATTTACTTGTAAACGAGTGTATCTGCACTAATGATCTGTTGTACAGTTTATGGGAGGATGTAGACAAGGATGCATTCAAGATTGTTTCTAAGTTTTGAAAAATTGGTCCGGTGATACTAGAGCAGGCACTGGAGTGATTTCCTTGTCGGCAAGCGGATGATAATACCTGAACTTGCTGACCTGCAAACGAGATAACGCATCTGCTAACACATTGTGTGAACCTTTGATGTGCTGAGCGCGGAATAAAGTATTGTTCTTTAAGCAATATAAAACCAAACATCGAACCATCCGCATTATGATTTTGTCCTTTGAAGTTTGCTTATAAATAATTGACACCAAAGCCAGGTTGTCGGTATGTATGTTTACTGTATTATGATTTGCCAATAAATGTCCCCACATCACCACAGCTACTACAATAGGGTACAACTCTAATGCTGTAATGTAATGTCCTCTAGTTTCAGGGGACCATTAACCCAAACACCAGTGTTTCCCATATACTGCCCCAAATCCTACTGATGTTGATGAATCTGTATACATACATATTTGATAGGCTGATAAAAGTCTATCATTCATGAAGAAACTACACCCGTTATATTCTAGAAGAAAGGTTTCCCACATCTGTAAGTCTGCCCGAGCCTCTTTTGTAAGTCTGATAAAATGATGTGCTTTCTGAACACCTATCGTGAGATCAAAGAGCCTTCGAAGAAAAGCTTTCCCAGGTACTACCACAACTGTTGCAAATTGTAAAGTCCCTAAAATTGACTGCAGTTCCTCTAATTTTTATTTTTTCAATGCTATCATTCACTGAAGAAAATTTAGAATAGCTTAAATGGTGGGTAAGGCGAAATTTGCCGTCTTTTTTTGGTACAACCCCACGAGGGCTTATATGAAAGTTATTGAATGGTTGTTGATCAAAAGGACCTGCAACCAATCAGAGGACATTATGCTAATTAATAATGCATAGATTTTGCTCAGCTTTAAACTTGCAGTCTTTTGTAAATTGTACATGCTTAGCAATATTCATTAAAATCAAACAATATATAGCCACAGTCATATGTACTGACTATGATGGTTTTTATAATCATGATGTGGTCAAATGAGTCTGAATTCGGTTAATAATTAATAATAATAGTGATATAAAAATTAACCCCTATAATAATTATATACTTGATATTCGAAGCATATTATTGGGGATATTCTTTTATTTTAACATTATTAATTAAAAGAACTTCCGATTAACAGCTGTTGTGAATTATATAAGGGATCCGATAATTTGCAATAGCTATACTTGGACCTTAACTAAGGTGTTCAGAGTAATGATACATGTTTAAGGGTTTTAGATTGACGAATTCTGAAACTCTGAACACCTTAGTTTATGACCAGATATAGCAGGTACGTAATACGAGTCGTATAAATACAGTATGTTCGAGAGATTCTTGTACATTAAGCCTGAAAACTCGACGAAACTTTTTTTGTTTGTTTGTTTGATTTTGTTTAACGTCCTATTAACAGCTAAGGTCATTTAAGGAAGGCCTCCCCTGTGTGCAAGATGCATGCGTGTAGTGAATGTGTGTGTATTTTGGGAGGCTGCGTTATGTTCGTGTTTGTCTCCTTGTGATAGCGCGGAACTGATGCCGACTTTATAGTGCTACCTCACTGAGACATACTGCCGAAGACANAGAGTATAAAGAGACAGTAAGAGTTGTCTTAAAAAGCTGATCAAGAGTCGATAAGTTTTTGAGGCTGCCTCAGTTACCACCGCCATTTTGTTTCACATCAATGTACAAGCGCCTCGCCGATGGAACGGAACGGAACGAGTGTAGAACGGAACGAAACGAAAGCTTCACTCGGACAGGGACGGAGCGAAACGGAACGATTAGGGTAGAGAGGATTTAACATTGAACGAAGCAGAACGAAACGAAGAAAACACGTCTGGGTCGGAAACGGAACGAATTGAATCTTGAGAACGAAATGAAATGAAAACGCGAATGAAATGGAATGAAAACGGAATGAAAACGCAAAATCTGTCAACTGCAACGCTGACACCCCTGTACTCCCGAAGGCAAGATGTCTGGACTGTCCCGTCCACAGAGAAGAAGACTCGGACGGATAGTCCAAAGTACTCCCGAAGGCGGGATGTTTCATATGTTCCTTCCGGACAGAAGATGACACGGAAGAATAGCCCAACGAGGAAAGAGATGGTACGAGCAAACTTCAGTCTGCCGGAGACCCTGACGTTTGAGAGATCAAACGTGCAACGAAGGAGACGTAAGGGAGTGGACATCGGAAGCGCTCCTGGTCCTCAAGGTGAGAACCCGACGTTCAGGCAGCACATACACAGAACCTGGTAAAATCCGGCGGCCGTTGGATCCAGTCCTCCAACATCCAGGACTGCGGGAAGGCCACTTCTTACCCCAAACTCCACCTCATTGAGGAACACTTTCCGTGAAGCCTATATGAGGTGCCTGGATGGGGTAAGGGAGATGGTCCCACCAGAGCAGAAAATACAGCTGCACTGCTTTAGTGGCACGGAAGAAGCCATCCAGGCTTGGCTGACGCGTTTCCCGAGCACCTACTTCATCGTGTCGGTAATGGTTTCGAAATTCGACGACGCCCAACGTCCTGGTCAGTGGTGAGAAATGTATCCAACCCACCAGACTTCTAATCGAGACAGACGCTCCTTACTTATCGGTCAGCCCCAAGTTCCCATGCAGCGCCCAACATTTGGTGGACCATTCCGCCCGTCGTATTTCTCAGATCCGAGGCACATCAGTTTGGCCGTGGTGCTGGAACTGACCAATTGGAACGGAAACAACCTGTCCAGAGAAGCGGGAGCCAGGACACCACATACTAGGGTGGCCGAGGACGGTTAATCCCCGATTACACGTGTCAGGGATCCAGGGTAGCCGATGGCGGGTAACCCCCGATTCCATATGTCAAGGATCTAGGGGGCCGAGAACGGGTAACCCCGGATCACATGTATCAAACCCAGAGCCTTTCTGGCCGAGGACGGTCGGACCACAGCTCAAATATGACAGGGAAGTGTGTGGTGAAAGTGCCTAGTAAATGCTGGCTAGCAAGCCTGTGGGTCATCTAGACATCTGATCAGATATCACGTGACTGAGCGAGGACAGGTCTTGACGATTGAACGACTGAACTGAACTGACGTGTGCTGAATAGCCCGTAGATAAAACGACCTGAATTTCTATCGTTTTTGCTAGGACCTTCCATCCTAGCGGACCTCAACTGGACGTTTGACAACTATCCTGGTGAGTTGTCATTTTAGTTTGTAGAAATACAATAACCAACTTAATAACACCGTTGTTTACCTTAACTCTTATTTCATGGTAAAATAGAGAATACCATAACAGAACATCCTCAAAGTAAATATTAATCACGTTTTGTTGTTCTGCCCAACACGTTCATAATCGTCAATTGCAAGCCTCCCCCCCCCCCCTTGCTTGTTCAAACCCGCTTAAAATCTGTCAATTATCTATCTTCACACCTTGATCTCATTAAAGAAATTAACACCTCATGCATTATTGATAGGAATGGAGATATCCGCCCATCAAAAACTAAAATGATTTAATAATGATTATGTATTCCGGACTGTCCCCAGACGTAACTTTCACTTTCTATGACAGCGACAGTTACTGACGTTCCAGACGAATCCTCGACTAACCGAACCGATGAATGGTGACACTGATTGCAAACCAACAATAATTGAAGCTTTTCTTCAATACGAAATATAATATATGTTACCTCTCAACTAAATCACTTTTTCTGCCATGGTAGTAGCACTCAATTCAGCCTTCATCTTCTTTACCGACCAGTTGTGTAACCACTCGTCCGCCATCTTGGCGTCGGTAGTAACCCCACCTAGTACACGCTCTGGCGAGTAGTGTCGCGGCGGAAACGATTTTGCAGGGTTTCCGCTCATTAGTCGCCTCATACGATACACATTTTTCCCGATCCCCCACCTGCAGGGGTTTTGGGGACACAAAAGCGATCAAAATAAATCTGCTGTGTCCATTCCAATATTTGGGATCTTTTATCTTTCTTTCTACTTCTAACTACCTTTTACCTACTTCTAACTACCTTTTACCAAACCAAACTAGTAAATTTGAAAACCCTTTCGTCGGTTCGTTACCTGTGACCCTTTCACGTGTTCAAAAAGAATTTCACGGAAGTGGATGTGTCGCCTGCGCAGGATTTGCTTAGAACTGCACGAAAACAAATTTTCTATTTAAAGTAACAGTGACCTTTGACCTTCGGACATGAGAAGCAATCCAAAGCAAGCACTTTTGGTAAGGAAGAACTGCATGAAGTTTGAAAACGAAAGAAAAAACCAGCATAGCCCCCTCCTCAAAGTTCGTTTCAAACAGTCACAGGTGTTCGCCAAGGTGATGCCAACGGTTTCCTCATTGTTAAATTTTGTTTCCAGCTAGTATTCAAGCATGCAACGGCATTGTAACATATCCAATTTTCAATTGCGACTATGGGGTCAGTTTCGAGAACTTTAGTAATGGTCCCTATTACAATAATAACTTGTGTATACATGCATTGTATAATTAAGCAGTAGGCAGTTCCTTTAATAATAAGGTCAAATAAGTGCTAAGTTAAAGATATCCTGATGAAACTTAAACCAAATCTTCAAAACTAACAGACGATGTACAGGTCACGGTGACCTTGACTTCGAGGTTAAATATCAAATACGT